TATAAGGCAGGGTATCAAAACTCTTCTGAACTTCGTTTAAAAAAGTTATCCCTCGATCAGATACCATCTCTGAAAAAGCGAAATACAATTACAATTCAGTGCCCCTCCAAGCCCCCACTCCCGGCCCCCGCATTGCTACACAAGTAAGAAAACTATCACAAATATCCCTCAGAAAATATTTTTTTAAAAAAAGTTTAAATCTTTGCCTCCATCTTAAGTAAATTCAGGGACAAAAAAACAAAACCGACTGCCATTAAAAAGTATAAAAAACCCACTTTTCCAGTAGCACGACACTGGAACACTGTGTCCTGTGGGTTCTGTTCTGTAGAACTTCAGAACCACAGATATATTCCAGACTTGTCAGTGTCACGTTGTGCCCTCATCCCCACAGACTGCTTATGTTGCTTGCCAACAGCAAAACAACAAAACTAGCAACACTTTCTCATTTAACCTTTGGAGGTTAGGTTGAATTAAGAGCGCCCTCTGCTGTGTCTTGCTGTACCTGTATTTGAAGCTCTGATATCTTTTCACCCCATTTTTGAACAGATGTTTAAACTTTGAGCAAAAAGTGACAATCTTAAAGTTTCTACTAAGAACGGAGTAAAAAAAAACAACAACAAAATTTCACCATACCTGCCAGTTTGTTTTTTTTTTAATTGGCAGCCCCTTGTTTACCACCTACACCGCCCTTAATACCTGACAGCTTGTAAGCAACAGCTTTAATCACAGCTGACAACTGATAATTCATGTCTGTGCACAGTCGGATCATTGCCCTTATTTCATGTTTTGTTTTGTTTTGTTTTTTTTTGGTTTGTTGTTGTTGTTACAGTTTGGGATCCGGGAAAGGTGATAATGTAGTGTGAATTGCTTGCAGGAATTCTCTTGGATGCCTTCACAGGGGTTGACTTTCCTAGTACATTTCCCTTCCAAAGCTGTGATCCAAATTAATAGGGACACTCCTGCCGCACCACCCACTTTGACGGCCCGCTGCGGTGGCTATCATCTGTCCGTCGCGTGTGGCTTTGTTTGCGTGCGATATTCTTTTCCCACAAATAAGATTTCTGCAAAGTTCTGCCACACAGCGGTTGAAATTAAAGCTCAGCAGGGGGTGGTGTTTTCCCTCCTCTTGTCGAAAAGAGATAACTTGATTTTCAGATAACATGTTTGTATGAATATAAAAATCATCACAGCAGCACATGCCGGTAGGTGCAAATAAATTGGTTTATTTGGCAAATTTGATTCCCTGCATTATTTATATTTGTCAACACTTGTATATAATAAAGAGAGGAGAGAGGGAAGATCCAGTTTGGTCCAGCCGTTCAGAGGCAAAATAAAATGGGCAGCAGCAAATGGAATTCACTTGTTAAAACTCGCCGTTATGAATACGTGCCTGGCTCTGCCCGAGGCGAAACACAGTCCTTATCACAAGTCATTTTCATACTGGTAATAATCATAAAGCAGTGGGTGTCTGAGTGCATAACATATGCATTTATTTCCCATAGCACGTGTGCAATATTCACAGAGACGGCCTGGCACAGGCACCACGGTTTCTTAGGTCCAACGGTGTTAACGATATGAGACAAAGATAAATGTGTGTGTAGTACAGCACAGGGTGGGGCATTCATTTCTGTTAACAAGGGCTTTTTAGCCCATTGAAATGTCTTCCAGGAGCATTTTTGGACCATTTCCAGGTCTCTTTTGTAAGTGGCTAACCTTCAGCTATCACCTCTGTGCTATCCTTATTTCAAACCCACAGTAGAAGGACAGTGATGTGGTGTGACCATCCTGTGTGTGTGTGTGTGTACAGTATCTCTGCCTCGGAACCTGATTTTAGCATTTTTCTCATTAACCCAGAATTTGCTAATCGGAGGCAAAGTGCAGCATTTTTGCCCTTTTTTTCCCCAAAGCACCTCTGCTTTAATAATGTGATATTGATTGACTTGTGGTTAACTTTAAATTGTTACCATTATGCAGGTTTTTCAGCCAACAGTCTTTATTTTTTGGTGAGGTGAGAGACGTTTTAGAAACATTTGAGACTTTTTAAATTCAAAAACATTTTTTTTTCATCATTTACCATCTTTTCACTATTGTTCGCTCAGGCTTAGTTTGGAGAAATGGTTCAGTCTTTTGGTTGAACTTGACAAACTGCAACTTCTTTGGAACAACATTCTGAGTCGAAGCTATTAACTGTGCAAGGATTGTAAAAGTTAAAGAGGTTAACATCCTCGCTTTTGAAATCCGGAGTATGTTAAAGAAGATATTCAATTTCTTTTTGTGTATTTTCTTGTTTGGATCATTTCCATTTGCAAATGCAACGCTAAATGTTCTGTGGCGCAGGTATTATCAGATAAGGGAAAATAATAACATTTGAAACATCCCTTGGAAAACTTCTTTTTTTCCAAAAACACTTCATCCCTAAGAGGTTGCCAGGCGGCTCTTGCCAAATGAGCACTTACTGTACTTGAGGAGATAAACGACAGGAAATCAGGGCCAATCGTTTAAAGGCAGTATTTTCGCATGGAGCTAATTTTCTCCAGTTTACTAACACTCTTCCTCAGGCTCTTAAAAGAAAGGGCCAAGTCTTTGTGGATATAAATCTACAAAAGGCAACTGACAAGTGTGTTTTTTTATTTTCACACTGGCACAGACACCACGAGGGACACTAACGACTCTGTTCTTACTGCATGACCACATGAAACAATTTAGAGCCTGAGTGAGCAGCTAATCAGGCGGTGGGGGCGGATAAAGATCAGGACGGAAACAAAGCTAATCAGTTGATGGTTGTGTTTTGTCGTCAGGTGATCCAGACCATCAGTGCCGTGGATAAGGACGAACCACTCAGCGGTCACGGCTTCTACTTTTCTCTGGCTGCACCTGTTGCTGGAAACCACAACTTCACCCTGCGAGACAACAAAGGTGAGACATGACTAAGAGTTGGCTTTTTTCTTTTTTCTCTTGTGAAACCACTAGTGGTTGTATGGGGATATGACTCAGAGATCAGAAGGCCCGAGGTAGGCAGTGTTTATTGGTTTACTTCACAACAAGATCTGTCCTTCACACTGTGGTTTTGACATTTATCATTTATCATATGATATGCCATAATACTTTTTAGTGGGCCCTTGTTGGACCATAGTAATGATCAGTGGGTCTTAGTGATTATTACTGGACTGCAATGATTATCAATGCCCCATCTATTATACCATGGGTGGGGCCTTTGTATTATTTGTTGGGTCGTTATCAGTGAAGAATCGTAGTGATTATAAGTGGGTCATGCTGATAATTGTTAGGTTTCCTTATTATTGTTGGGTGACAGTTGAGCTGTAGTGATTGTTAGTGGGCCATTTGACGTGAGCCATATTACCAGGACATGGCACATATTAGTTGGCTAAAGAATATATTGTTAGCCCATAGAAATTGTTGTTGGGCTATAAGAATTATAGTTGGGCCATTGTAAATATTAGTGGGCCACAGTGATTCTGGGTCATAGAGTACATTGTTGGGGTATTCTGAAATAGTAGACATTAATAGACATCAACATTGTTTTTGTATTTCAAGTTTATTTTTTTTAGGTCAAAATACATTTATCAGACACTTTTATCCAAAGCCATTTACAGAGATTAACATTATAAATGTGTGGTT